CCGCACACTATTTCTAAGCACCCTCCCATCTGGTCCACAGGCAGTACCTGAAAACCTACTGGCCACACTCCCTTGGCGTGACCTGCCATGCTTTATTTTGTGAATTCTCCCAGAGGGCTGTGCCCTGAAATGCAGTAGCCCGAACCTGGATGTGAACAGTTTTGTTCTTCACCCCCAAAAATTGGATGCCCAGGAGCAGACACAATAAGGTGTCCTGACAGTGAGTGAGAGACCAAGGCTATGTGGTTTCCACTGGATCACAGGACAGACCAAGAGCTAGTGTTATGTGCTGTAGTGGGGTGAGAAGGGCTTTGGGGAGCCTGCTCTCTATGGCAAGAAGGAGGCAAGAGGGACTTCTGCAGGACCCAGAGGCAAGTGTTCTGGAGGAATTAACAGCTAGAGATGAGAAGGGATGTTCCCAAGACTGCCAGCATACCTCTTCTGTTGGGCCCTGAGATGTCAGTAGCCCACACCAGAGAGATCCCTTATCCCCTGATCCTCACCTTCTGGAAGGTCACGCCAGGGATCTCATGCCCTGGGGTGCCATTGCTGTGTGATCTAACACCCTGGGACTCTTCTGCCCCATGATCCAGGACTCAGAGCCCCAAGGTTACCCCATCTGGCTGGCACTGCCTACCCTGGGTGGTTAGGGCATGGATGTTGTCATTTCCCAGCCAGAACTCCCCCAGCTGACTGCCGAAGCCGCGCTTGTATGAGGCCCAGTCCCGAAAGAAGTCCACAGAGCCATCGAGCCTCCTCTGGAAGACCTGGGACAGGGAGGTGTACGCAGAAGTCAAAAAGGCAGGCAAACTTCCTACAGCACGGGGGGCCAAGCCTCAAAGCAGAACAGGAACCAGGATTCCCAGAACACTGGGAACCTAGTGCCATAAGCATGCCATTGCGGACCCCCACGCAACGAAGTAAGTGGCAGCTAAGAGAGCAGGCCACATGTCCCAAGCCACACAGCAGGAAGTGGAGTGTGCTGGCTTCATCTGGTCCGCCCCTTCAACATAGGCTTTCCCACAGAGGTCGCCTGCCAGCACTGCTGGTTCTCTATCTTCAGGGAAGGAAGGGCTCCCTCTGAGGTACAAAGGGACAGAGAATCCACACATCTCATTTTCTGTTGGCCGTGGAACTTGGGTCCTGATAGTTCTGTGCCTGAGAGCTAACCCAGTACTCACGGTCCAGCCCCCACCATCCGTGTCCATGTCACACAGCACAGTCAGGGGCCTGCAATCCGGCAAGTAGATGGTATACCAACCAGTAAGAAAGTGGCCCCGGGTGAGCATTTCCTTGCAGGCCCGAGGTCCTGTGGATGGAAGCAGGGAGCGAAGGTTGGATTTGAACCCTGGTATGGTCAAAGAAAGTAGGCAACGAGCTCAAAGTCACACAGCAGGGGCCCGGGAAGGGAGGCAGGGACAGGGAATATCCACATGGGGACAGGATAGGTGATGTGGTCACCTGTAGCACACGACTGAAATGGCCCGGTGTCTCCTGTGTGGGGAGAGAAGAGACCTGGTCTTAAGTGTGTGGTCATCAGCTTCGTCCCCACTCACCCCTATAATGTGAGCTGGGTAATTCCAGGACTCTCCTAGGCTCTACTCTTGGGGTACATGGTCCAGCTGCCTGGCTTTTCGTCTGCAGCTGTGGTAAGTGCTGTCCCTGACAGTACCCTTGTCCAGGCCTTGTGTACCAAAGAGAGTGGGTAGCCCCTTCCGTAGTCCCAGAATGCTTAGACTATGCTCTGCCAGAGTGTCTACCCAGGAGGCCTTGTGAGTGAGGGGTGCCCACGGCATTCAGAACACAGATAGGTCCCCCTCAATTGTAAAGGAAACATGAGGTTGCCTCTTAGAACTTCATAATTAAAAAATAAATAAATAAATAAATAAATAAATAAATAAGCATCAATTAGAAAAGAATTCAAATCAGTTTTGCTAATCACCCAGCTAGACCACAGGCAGGTGCTAGGATGTGAGTCCTCAGAGTTTGAATATCCTGGCCCCTGCCACCTACTCTACCTCAGACTGAGGACCCTCTCCCTAGGTATGACTGGGCATGGCAGACCCCCAAGACACAACACATGGACTCACCTTTCTCTCCACGTACTCCCTTCTCTCCACGTACTCCCTTCTCTCCTTGTACTCCTTTCTCTCCTCGGTCTCCTGCGGAAGCAGAGAGCATGATGCCGATGCCCAGAGCATCTGATCAATCAGGAGACCCACCAAATGGGACTAGTCACCCAAGGCAGGCACTGCTTAGGGTCAGCTGGGAGCTGGAAGCCCGCAGGAGTGGGGGCAGGCAACCCCTGCTGTTGGGGGCAGGCAACCCCTGATGCTAGCAGGAAGGGACACTGAGGCCTGCGGTAGGGCAGAATCCTTCCCCATCTCTTTCTCCAGCCCCCATGTCTTCATGGACAGACCGAGGTGCCTACTTAGCACCCTTGCTGTCTGCCAGGCTGTTACCTTTGGGTCCAGTCGGTCCTGCCTTTCCAGGGTGTCCAGGGAGGCCGTTCTCTCCTGCAAATTCAAATATACTTTCTGAGCAAAGCATCCACATTGTCCCCGTGGACAGTCTTTGCTGTCATGCTGGCCTTAGTGACCTTTGGGACTATAACCAGGCTCACTGTGGAGGGTGCAGAGGGTGGTACAGTCTAACCCATGGGGAGGGTGCAGAGGGTGGTAGAGCCTAACCCATGACTGGGGAGGGCGTAGAGGGTGGGGTGTACCCTAGCCCGTGGCTGGACACTGGGGCCTCCAGCAGGCTTTCAGTAAGCTCTCATTTGCTCATTTTGTCCAACGTGAGTGAACCAGGCCTGGGCCACAGCGACCTCACAGGGGGAGAGGGAGAAAGGGAACATGGCTGTGTCATCCCCTCAGACCCTGTGCCATCTAGTTTTTATGCCAGTTTTATGACACAGGCTAGAGTCATTTGGAAAGAGAGAACACCAGCTGAGAAAATGGCCCTACCAGACTGGCCTGCAGGCAAGCCTATGGGGACATTGTCTTGGTTAGTGATTGATGTGGTGGGCCCAGGTCACTGTGGGTGGTGCCACCTCTAGGCTGGTGGTCCTGGGAGCCAAAAAGACAGGCTGAGAGAGCTTTGAGGAGCAAGCCAGTAAGCAGCTTTTCTTCACGGCCTCTGCATCACCTGCTGCCTCCGGGTTCCTGCCTTGACTTCCTGCTCTGACTTTCCTGGATGACAGACTACAAGCTGTGGGATGAAATAAAACCTCTCCTTCCCAAGTTGCTTTTGGTCATGACGTTATATTGCAGCAATAGAAACCCAACTAAGATGTTCCCTGGCTCAACAGAAGCTATGAGGCAGTCACGAGGTCCTCCTGGCAGATCCTGGTCTCGGGAGCCACGCTGGCCCCCAGCACAGCATTGCTGGTGTCTGCAGCAGCTTGAGGACTCCTAGCTTCTGTTGTCAGGTGTGATCAAGAACAGAGTGGACTTGTTCATCCTCTACAGATGAGGGTCTGGAGCAGCAACTCTAGAGGCCCAAATTGCTCAGGGCCAGAGAATCTGAGCTTGCTTTACCCAGCAGGCCTGCATAAGGGGATGGTTTGACCACGGGTGTGGTTACCAGGTGTTTGGAAGGGTCTACACTTGGCTGTATCTAGCAAGAGGGAGGTCTTTTGCCTTATTATAAAAAGTCCTTTTGAATAAAGTTCTGGGCCATTGGGTATTGACCCAGGTCCTCCCGAAGCTATCCTGTGTTTCTGTCTTTCTTCTCGTCTTCAAGGTCTCTCTCTTTCTACCTAATATTTTCTTATCCCTCTCTCCTCAAGAGTACCTAGGGTATATTGGAGGCAAGTCCCCCACAAGCAACATCACTTCAGGGACACTGACCCAGCAGAGCACCCGGGCACACTAGTTCCCACTTTGGGTCAATTCAGCAATGCACAGAAGTAGCAACTTAGTTATATAGAAGTAGAGTCCAAAGCAAGAGGCCAACACCCCTCCCTCATGGCTGGCTGTCCCATCCTGGCCATGGGATAACCTCTTCCCCCAAAGTCCCTCAGCAAGGCTCTGGGGACAGAAGTCTCCTCCCCTAATGGGACCACAGAAGCGAGCAGGCAAGTGGGACTAGGCTTGGGGTGACTCACATTAGCTTTAAGCCTGGCATCTTCTAGGAGTATCATAGAGGTATCCAGGTTTGTCCTGTCTCCACCAGATCATCACCAGGCTCCGCCTGGGGTACCTTCAGACATGTGGCTCCCCTGGCAGCTCTGCTGCCAAACCTCAGCACATCCAAGTCTGATTCAGGAAACATAGGCACCACCACTCTCTCCCATTTGGGGAGAACAAGTGTGCTTGAGGTCCCCACAAGTGCTAAGGTTCAGGGCTCCAGGGGCCATACTCTGAAGCAGATCCCAGATGGAGGCTGCCCCACTCTCTCAGGAGGGCCAACTCAGGGAGGAACTGGTCCCTTTGAGCCTTTGTTCGATCACCAGAGGCAGGTGAAGAAGAAAGTGCCAGCCCAGCTTTCAGGTGAGGATGTAGAAGTATCTAGTGCCTATATGACTCCTAGTTGCCAAGTGGAGCAGACATCTGTAGGGAACCAAGAGGTGGGGCCTCAAAGTATGCCTGGAGCACCTAAAATGGTCCAGAGAAGCCCTCCTGGATCTTGTCAGACTGACTGAACCCGGTTTCTGTCATTAGCCATTGTACCAAGATACCCAGTGCAAGTCTTAGAATCAGGGAGGGCCTGAGGTGGTCACCCAAGTCCAGAAGACCAGACTCAGGGCCCCTCCCCCATTGCTGTGCCTTCCATGTGTCCTCCCCTTCCCCAAAACACACCTTTATCTCCTTTGGCCCCTGCTTCTCCCTTGGGCCCCAGGGCTCCGGGCCCGCCAGGGCAGCCTCGAAGGATGGTGAGCTTGTTGGAACCATCCAGATCCAGGACTTTCACTTCTGCAGAACAACACAAGCATCAATCAATAGGACCATCTTGGGCCACCTGCCCTGAGGGCAACTGCCAGCTCAGCCATGTCGGACATGGGTAGATGGCTGCAGCCAGAATCACCAGCCTCCTCCACAGAGATGGGGCAGAATTTAGGTCTTCCTATGATGGAGACTAGGTCTGTCCTTGCCCTGGGGAGCTGGGCAGCTGAGAGGGGAATGCAGGATAGAGTCCTGCCTGGTGGGTGGAAGGAGCCCTCCAGGTACCAGTGTTGTGGTCCTTTGACAGATCACCTAAGGCCCCCGAGTCTCTGTCCCTCAGCCCCAAGTGGTTGTAGGAACTGGAGAGATGGCTCAGCGGTTAATAGCACTTGCTCTTGCAGAGGACCCAGGTTTGGTTCCCACCACCCACATGGCAGCTCACAACTGTCTGTAATTCCAGTTCCAGAGGATCTTCTGGCCTTTGCAGGCACCAGGCATGCAAGTGGTACACAGACATACATACAGGCAAAAGTTCCATACACATTTAAAAGTGTGGTTTCTTAAACAATAGGGGTGTGGGAGGGACTCAGTTTGAGAATGACTTTAGAAAGCTAAAGTCTTGCCATTCTGGCATTTAGAGAGAGCTTCATAAATGGTTATTGTATCTGAAAAACAATAATCAATCTTGCTAAGAAATTCTGTCAATGTAACATTTTCTCTCAGTCTTGACAATTGACCAGGGAACGACTGGGCTGCAAGAGGTCTTCTAGGGAGGGGATGTGCATGTCTCAAGGCACAGCTGGAACCAAACAGAAGTTGCTACATTGTTTAAAATGTTGCTAAGTTGTGACTTGAAAAGTGCACACTCTTGGGATATCAGAACAGGGTGGGTTTCAGCTCGGTGACCAGAGACTATCTTTGGTGTGCTCTTCGGTGGGGAGGACCACCTCTCCGGCTCCCGTCTTTCCTCCATTGCCTGTAGTTCTGTGTGCAGGGTCGAAGCCTCGCAGGCTTTTCCCATCCAGTTTTCCTGCTGCCTCTTTTCCCTGGGGTGGGCTGTGTCTTGCTGCTGTCCGAGGCCCCTTTCTATTCATGCCACAGCCTAGGACAGCTGTCCTGTGCTTAGGAGCAATATCCCCAGGGTGGACAGAGGCAATCAGGGATATTCCCAACCCCAAATCCTTGCCCATATGTACCATACAGGACCGTGGGGTACATTTTCACCAAAGTTATCAAGGGGATGTGTCAGCCACCAGATTAGAGGCTCCTAACATTTCTCTCTGAACTCCCTAAGAAGGTAGAAAATGTCGGTGTCGTCTTCATCTGTGAAGCTCCCAGGGTCAGACTGCAGGCCTCGGGGTCAGCAGGCACAGGCCCATGAAACCTCCACCTGACCTGGTGCTGGTCACTCAGAGTCTGTCTTCAGAGGGTGACAATGAGCTAACCAGGAGCTTCTCAGAAGAGGTGAGCGCAGGGACATTAAGTGGGCAATGAGTGGGGTAGTTCCCTGCTTTCAAGGACTTAGAGTTCATCTCACCTGGGCAGGTGTCATCAGCATGAGTGATCAGGCCTTTGATGAGCAGGGTCAAGATGAATAGGGCGGCAGGTCCCGGAGCCATGGTAAGTGCAAACCTTCCACCCTTCTTCATAGCTGTGCAGAAGCACTCTGTCTGCTCTTATAAGGCAGGAACCCAGCTCCTCTCCTTGGGCTCCAGTGTCCCAATCCCCAGGAGACAAACACTTCCTGGAGGCCCATGGTTGCACAAGAGGCCTGAAATCGTCCCCAGGGTATGTCTGTTCTTCCAGTGAGGCCTCCCAAGGCTCACTTCCCCTGCAGAGGCATCTGAGCCCAGCCCAGGGTCACCTCTATTTGCAAAGGACTTGCCCTGTTGGCTTAAGTTAAGCATAACCCCCCATTCCCTTCTCATTTCCCATCAGGCTCTAGATCACCTCTTGTGGTTAGGGAGGATTCCGGAAGCCGGTCCCCAGGGCAGACAGGAGGGAGCTGGTCACTGGGGATTCGATGTGGAAGGGAAAAGAAGTCCCAAGCAGCCGTGACACCCCAAGCACTGCTTGTACCTTGTCGTTACCGCCACCAAGGTAGAAGAACTTGCCTGGTGTTTACAGGTAGAGAACTACAGGGAGGTCTCACAGCCTGCAAGGATCGGACACTGGGCTCAGTTCTGTGTGAGATCCAGTGCATCAGGGGCTGTTCATCACACCCGCGGGTGAGGACACCTCTTGCTCCTCCACGCCTGTCTCCCTGCCTTCAGGCTAAATTCTATCTTTTGTGCTCTGTACCCTGCACGCTCAGCCTAAGCTGACAGTAGCTGTTCAGCTGAATGGTGTGGGCATCTGATGTCGTCAGAGAGTAGCAGGGCGGGGTTTCAAGGGACAGCTATTTTTCTGGGCCACTGTGCAGAGTAGATCCTATCCATTCTGCTTGTGCCAGGGGGATAGACGCAGGGACAGACAGATAAGAAGTCTAGAAAAATATGGGATGCGTACAGGAGCACCGTTACCGAGTGTGGTGCACAGCTCAGGACCGCACTGTGGAGAAAGCATATGCAGGCTTTTTTCTGAGTCTCCCAGTGCCCTGAACCAGGAAGGACAGGGCTGAGGCTCAGCCAGGCAAGCTTCTTTGTGCCAACTAGGTGGTGGATGGATATTCACCTGGGGTTCGGTCAAGACAGAGAGAGGGAATAAGGCTTTGGACCCCCCATGCCAGCTGCCTCTGCTGGCACTGCTCCTTCTGCACAGGCCCCGGGGAGATGTCACCAGTGCAGTCATGCAGCAGGGGAATGGTGCTGAGGTGTGGCTGTGGTGATGAAGAGTGTTGACGCCATGTTTGAAGAGTGTAGGAACTAATCCCACTGCAGTGTTTGGAGGTGGGGCCTCAGGGGCAGTTAGGAGGAGGTAAGTGTGGTGGTTACTTTTCTATCACTGTGATAAAACACTGAGATCAAGACAACTAGTAGAGGAAAGCATTTATTCAGGGCTTACCGTTCCAGAGGGTTAGAGCTCGTAATGGTGGACCAGAGGCGGCAGGTGGTGGAGCAGCAGTTGAGAGCGCACATCTCAAATGGCAAGCAGGAAAAAGAGAGGCACTGAGGATAACACCAGGATTTGAAACCTAAAAGCTTACCCCCAGTGGCACGCTTCCTCCAGCAAGGCCACACCTCCTAATCCCTCCCAAACAGCTCCACTAACTGGGGACTGAGTATCCAAATGCCTGAGACTATTGGAGAACATCTCATTCAAACCACACAGTAAAGCTGTCAGGGAGTAAACTCCACAGTCAGTCCTGGTGGCTCTATAGGAAGAGAGAGAACCAGGACACATACATGAACATATCCATACATCCACATTTGCACATATGTGTATATATACCTTCATGCATGTGCACACACATGCATGAGCACATGAATGTGTGAACATACGTACATGCACACATACCCAGTAATATATACACATATATTCATATTACATGCATGTTCATATATATATGTTATATTCATAATATATGCATGTATATATATATTCATGCATGCACATAAACACATATACGTAAACACACACAAGTATTCCTGTCTTTCACTGGGGACCCATGTCACACTGCCAGCAAGACAGCCATCACCAAATGCAGACCCTGGAATCTGCATGCCCGGAGCCATGAGTTCAAACAAACCTGTTATTTATGAATCACCTGTTCTGTGGTCTGTCAGTAACATACAAGAGACAAACACAGCAGATTCTGTCACAGTCAAAAACTTTAAATTTGACTGCATGGGAACCACTGACCTCTGGCATTCAGGACTGTCTATCCTGCTGGGGACAAACAGCAAAAGGTCACACACTTGCATGGAGGCTCAGCTACAGCTGCTGTGCTCCGGGAACATAAATCTTAAGGCTTTTTTTTTTTTTTTTTTTTGCCATGAGAATTTGCCAAACTCAAAAGCTGCTAGACAACTGTGTATAGTTAAAGGTCAAAGGTAAGTGTCAAGGACCAGGAAGAGTCTGGGTTTAGGATCCAGAAGGGCTCCACCCTTAGAAGCAGAGTGAGCTAGCCCTCAGCACTCCTGTAGACTGCCTTTGAGGAGGTGTGTGCTGGGAAAAACTCAGTTCTAGAAACATCCTCAGGTCTCCCCAGGTTGCTCGTGCTGCTGGCTGTCGGCAGAAACCTTTTTAGAGGAGAAAGCAGCATTGTGGGCTTCACAAGATTTCTATAGTGTGTGTGTGTGTGTGTGTGTGTGTGTGTGTCTTGTAAATGTCAGAAAAGGATGGGAGACAACCACGCTCGAAAGGAGGAAAACAACAGGTCCAAGAAACAGAAAAGAGAACCCAGGACACAGAACACAGAGGCCACAGGTGCCAAAGCTACACCCTGCAAGCATCCTCTGAGATAGGAATCCAGAGTCCGCACACAAGACCAGGATCTTGGAGATCTGTGTTCATGGAAGTCTGTTCTGTATTCATGGATCAGGATATCCATGCAGCTTGTCCCCTGAGTGTGCTACATATCATATATATATATATATATATATATATATATATATATATATATCTCAGTTAACTCCCCCCCACCCCAGCATGACACTGGACAAGATGGATTTATAACGTACAGAAAACCCATGATACTCCTGAGCAGGACCAAGAGACCCTGGTCTGCTCTGCCAGGCACCAAAGCGTCCCCCACCAAAGCAGCAGTAACTCAGACGGCATGCTGCTGGCTCGGGGCTACACAGTCGGGCAGTAGGACCAGCAACGTGTCCAGAAACAAAGCAGGGGTATCCCGCTTTTGATCTGTGCCAGTGGTGGCTCTACAGAGAAACAAGCAATGAAAACATTGACTAAATGCCACAAACAACTGACTATGAGTAAAGAAAAACAAGAAATGGGAGTTGACTTCAATCATACAAATGAAATCAGCATTGGGAGAGCTGTAAAGCCCAACATGAATGGTAAAACCTAGCGGCTTTAGATCGTATAATAAGTTATCAGATAGCCCCGTCGGTGTCTTATGTGGAATAGAAAACTGCCAGGCACAAAGGGGAAGTTTAAAAACTGGTGTGAACTATGGAGAATAACATTTGTTTTTCAAAATACACCAAAGTGTGGGGGAGACAAACTTGAGACACGTGAATGCATGCATGTCAGAGGGTGAGCTACCCTCCTATGGAAAGTGGAGCAGTGACCTCAAGAGATGCTTATAAACATGGATACTTCATCCCAACAGAAACAGCAAAGCACATGCAGCACTGTGACCAGAGAAGTACTTAAAACCACAAGACACCACCATCCATGAGACACCACCATCCATTCAATCTAGGAGGAAAACCTTTCCAAAGAAGCAAACTACACAGGGATTTGGTGAGGATACTTGAGAAGTGGGGACCCTTGCCCATTATCACAGAGGGTGTACATGGTACAAACACATCTGAAAGCCTCTTGGCATCATGTCCACAATTCTCTGTGACCAGTGAACTCAGCATCCAGCCTCGGGTAGCTCACTTGAGCTCAGCAGGAAGATGCTGGGACACACTAAAAGGACAAAAGAGCCACCTGCTACAGAATGGACAGGACCCTGCAGGGGGTTCATACTGGGGAAGCCTGTCCAGCAGGGACATAAAGCCATTACAACCTCTGCAGAAGCCTGCTGGAATTTACAGACAACCAAGCACTAAATGGAAGAAGCTAAGATTAAAAGAATGCTGGGCACAGGCTGTTGGGCTTGCTGAACAAGTATGAGGATCTGAGTTCAGATCCCCAGCATCTACATAAAAGCCAGTGTTGGTGGGGTGCATCTGCAACCCTCTCTCAAAAAGTGAGGTGGAGAGCCATTGAGGAGGACCTCTAGCCTCTACACAGATGCACACACACAAGCACATGTAAACATGTGCATACACCACATGCACGCAAGTGCATGTGTGCACACCACACAGAGGGGGGGGGGAGGGAGAGAGGGAGGGAGGGAGGGCGAACGTTTGTAATTGAATTGTGTTTGTACAAAGTTCAGGAGTAGGGAGGAGCCTGAGCAGTGGGATTAAAGAGTGTGGTTAGTGGTGAAGTAGAGAGAGAAGCGAGACTCCTGCCTCCCCGAGGGACCTGGAACGAGGCACTTGACAAAAGACCCCTGGAAGCCGGGCAGGGCTGTGTTAAGTTTCATGGGCTTTGGTGAATGGATGTTTTTAATCACTAAAGGAAGGTCAGAGCAAGGAAGGCTGAGCACAGGTGTCAAGGTCAGCCTTTATTGCCTCCTGATGAAGCTCCAGACCAACCATTGGCAGGAAGCCGGGGATATGGAGGGCCCAGAGACCCTTTCCATACCCTCACTTCTAGGAGACCAAGCAAGCACCACCACCCACTTTGGCTCCCAGTGCTGGTGCTGAAGCCAAAAGAGAGGGACTCTGGACAGACAGAACGTTCCTTCTACAGGGACCATGCCCACATTGCCTGGGCCCCCGACCCCCTTGCTGCACCTTGAAAGATGCAATGACAGGGTGTTCAGTTCAGTTCCATTGGTCCATGTGTCAGTTTTTATGCCAGTACCATGCTGTTTTTTATTACTGTAACTCTATAGTAGAGCTTGAAGTCAGACCTCAACATAAATCCAGTTACTCTGAACCTGATAGAAGAGAAAGTAAGA